CCATGTCGTATGATTATGCGGCATGTTAAAGATCCCTGGAGTGCCTAATTGGCTCTTGACATCTCCGGCGAAATTAAATTCCTAGTGCACTTTAGCATCCAAATAGAGTTTCGGTACTGCCATCTAGTGTGGCAGAAACTAGACGTCCAAATTAACGTGACCAACGGTATCTCACCCATTGTGTTTGTCCTGAAAGAGTGGATACCACCTTTGGAGAACGCACTAGATCTGCTCATCGGGAAATCTGATTGTGCAGCTCATCGGAAATAAAAAAATTAACGTTATTTGTCATTTCGCTATCACTCTAACTATTGTAAGGGGTTAAGACCATCGGGTAGAAACCAATCATGGTGTACTTATTTATAAGATTATTAATATTCACAAAATACTTAATGCACTTGTCGAAAATTAATGTTGTAAAATATGTGCGATGATTACTTTGAAAAGTTGATTAAAGACCAACTAGTTGTAAATATAAGAAAAAATTATCTCTTTTCATTTCAAGCCATTTTAAAACATCATTTATGCACAACGTATTTTAAATTTTTGCTTGCAAAAAAAGAACCCAGCAGAAGTGATAAAAATTTGTTATTAATAAATGCTTCAAATTTCAAAAAAATGAAGCACATTTCTAGACGTACCAAATAAATATTCTCAATGCTTATTTTTTCTCATTATGAATAAAGATTGATTTCAGAGTCTTTATACCTATAAATCTTTAAAATTTTTGAACAATGTTTCTAAAGTATCAGATAAAGAATGTCAATACAAGACATCCCTTTTGAGGTTGGCGACGACCTTTAATCCTTCAAGCCAAACATTGAGCAAGACTCAACACCTACAGTTGAATGATGAGTATAAGTAATCTATAGAGTGTTGGGAACTACAAAATGGAAGATATAATAGTGTTCATTCCTTAATTCTATTTATGTTACATATTTTTCATTGTAAATTTATTGGTAATACCATTATTTCCTTTTAGTAATAAATGCTTCAATTAAGTTTTCTCATTGGATAATTTTATACAAATAGCACACTTTAATACAGTGTGTTCATAACGATGACAACACAATTTCTGTAGAAAAAGAACTAAATTTGAAAATAATCTACAAATTTATTGGCACCAGTTAAACAGTTTTGCTTAAAATTTTATCGATTTTATTTTGAATAAAATAAAATCACAATTACATTAAACTATTCGCGATAAACAAGTTAAATCATTACTGTTTAGTTAGACTGGTAAATGTTTTAAAAAATATTAAAGGAAGAATTTTATAGCTGCTAAGTAAGAATAAAATTTAAGTTTATTGAGTTCATTAAGGTAATAAATTTTTTAGTGTGCAGTTAAATGTCAAAAAATCTACTGCTGCTTGGGTATAATATAAGAGGTAAGTAAAAGAACAAAATAACGAAAAAGAAAAGAGCGAAAAAAAAGAAAGGAAAAAAAACAAGAAACTTAGATAAGACTTCCGTTCACACAAAGGAATAAACAATATAAGAGTTTGTTTTTCGCTTAAAACACTTTTGCTTAAAATTTTATCGATTTTATTTTTAATAAAATAATTGTGATTTGATTTTTAATAATATGATGTTTAATATAATTGTGATTTGATTTTATTTTTAATAAAATAAAATCACAATTATATCAAACTATTCGCGATAAACAAGTTAAATCATTACTGTTTAGTTAGACAGGTAAATGTTTAAAAAAATATTAAAGAGTTAGAATTTCATAGCTGCTAAGTAAAAATGAAATTTATGTTTATTGAGTTCATTAAGGTAATAAATTTTTTAGTGTTCAGTTAAATGTCAAAAAATCTTCTGCTGTTCTGGTGTAATATAAGAGGTAAGTAAAGGAACAAAATAACGAAAAAGAAAAGAGCAAAAAAATAAGTAAATAAATAAACAAGAAACGTAGATAAGACTTCCGTTCACACAAAGGAATAAACAATAGAAGAGTTTGTTGTTATAAAAAAAATACAGGCGCAAACCATTAAAATATGTGGAAATAAAACATTTTCACCTGCAGTTTTGAAAAATTTATCTTACGTAGATAACATTATTGGAAAATATTTGATAAAAGATTTTAGAAATCAATTGTGCCATTCAAAAATATACTTTACAAAACTGTTTCAAGAAAAATAAGAGACTTGAACTTTGTTAAAAAAAACATTGACTCGTGTCATTTCGAAATACATATTAAAAATAACATCTTTTTTTTTATATAACCCCAAATAACTAGGTTAATTCTGCTAATAAGAAACTTGAACTTTGTGAAAAAAAACATTGACTCGTGTCATTTCGAAATACATATTAAAAATAACATCTTCTTTTATATAACCACAAGTAACTGGGTTAACTCGGCTTTGAATATCAAATACCTTTGCTGCTTCTCATTCATGGATGTTTTCCTTAAAAGTCTTTAAAAAATGATTTTTTAAAATAAATATAATGTTATAATTATTTTATGCAAACAATTTGTTAGGATATTAATCGTATCAAAGTGATTCTGAGAAAAGATGAGAAAATAATCAAATGTACTTGAAAAAAAAAATTATATTTAGGAATATATTTATGTTTAGGAATACAGAATATGCGCAACAGAAAGGAGTAATGTATAAGAAGACACTTTTTTGTTAACAATCAATGACGATAACCATATATTTTATAACAGTTCAAATTTGAAATATTTTTGATTTCTCTTGAGTTTTTTTAAAAATTTCGATAGAAACGTTAGGATTTATACCTAACAACATCTAAACTCTCAGTTTCTATGTTTTTTGTATTATATTTACTGATTTTTGTTACTTTTGACAAGAAGTCGAGAGCGAGAGACAGAGTTTTCAAAAATAATGGATAAAAAGTTTTTATTCAAAACATGAAGTTAAGAAAATCACAAAAAGCACTTAAACCTGAAATAAATATCAAATAAGTGAAAACTTCAGAGATAAAATAACTCCCGTAAAGTTTATAAATAAAAATGACCCTTTTTGTGTATTATATGTCTGTGATACAGTTATATTTATGCAGCATACAGTGTGGCTAACATCGTTCTTTAAATTACAGTTTTAACAGTTGATAGAACAGAAACTAACAATAGATTATAATTTTTTTAATCCTTAAATTTTTCCGTATATTTTCTTTATTTTAAGTTTCTAAATGCTATAATGCATCAAAACAAAATGTAACTTAATGTTGAACACTCAAAATAGTGATATTGATGTCACTTAAGGTTATTTAAAGTAAAGAGTTTATACTTATATAGTTGATAGTTATAGTTCACGCTAATATTCACGAGCAATACTTTCAGTTCTCTTTGTGTTTTTAAATACATAAAAGCAGACTTAAAATCCAAGTAAGATATGGCCAAATTTTAAAAAAATCAAAGATTCATAAAATTACTTTTTTTATAAAAAGTTTTCATAAAATAATAACATTAATCAGTCACAAAATCTGAAAGCATCGGAATTTATGTAATTATTTCTCGGCACACAAATAAATTTGCCACCATGATGAAAATAAACTGTTTTTATTAATCACAATTACGAGCTCCTTAAAGTAATTTTGTAGAACATTGATGAATATTTGAATACTTGAATCTAACGCAGTTAGAGAATTTATCACACACAATTAACAATATATGTAACTGAATTTGAGGCAAAATATTCAAAAAGAAACGAAATAAATATTCATCGTTAACTTAGCACCGAGTAATATATTAGGTACATATTTCCGGCAATTCGTTATATTTTTATATGTGTACTACTTTTTTAGAGCACTTAAAGTTAATATTACTTACCTAAAGTATTTATTGTGTGCAAAATTAATGTTAACTAATTATATAGTTTGATCATATTTTTTGCTTTCGAATTCCATTATTTATTGACCTCATTTTTTTCAAGCTACTCTTCTGCTATTTGTTATAGGGGTTATTATGCTATATAAGAAGTTTACTTTTGATAAAATGTTTGCTTTGCAAAAAATTACTTGTAAAAATGCAGAAGAACAAAATTAAAGTCATTTTTTTCATTTTAACAACTAAATGATCAATGACTAATTTAAAATGTAGTTTGGCGGTGAGTACTTAAGCTACTTAATGAATTAAACGAACTTTTGACCGGTATAGTCAGCGTGTTTTGGCGTTAAATAAGGAAACGCAATTTGAGAAAAACTTCGCCAAATATACACGGAGAAACGAATAATGTTAAAATTACCGTACTGTAGGGCAATGACACTTCTGGTAAAAAAAACTCATAATTCTAATTAATTAATGAAATTTAGGTCTTCATTTCTAACAATAATTTTTAAAATTTCTCTCACTAAAATAATAAAAAGGTTGTCCTAAATTAAGCGATTTGTTAATTGTTACAACAGAAACAGAGAGTCTATTTTTTTAAGGAAATTGTTTCTTAAAAATCACATTTTTAAACACTATGGGTACAAATCTTGGCGACAAATATTCCGCGGTGGGAAGTAATCCTCATTGAAGTATGGGCGAATCAAGAAATTAAAAAATTTGGTCTATCATCGAAGCAGTACATGGGTGAATTAATGAATGAACTAGTCTTTAATGAATGAATAGCTTTTCAAGTTGCAATTTGTGACAGTGCAGTCATTAACTACAATGTTTGACTTTAATAACCAAATTTAGCGTTTTTTTCTTATGAATGACTTTTCTAACGCAATGCGATGTAAGAAACTTCCACTTTGTTTCAAATATTCACCTGAAATCAAAGTTATAAATTTCAAATTGTTTATGTGTTCAAAAATAAAAAAAAATTAAATAATTATTTTTTAAACGAATATTAAATTTAATTTAATAAATAGTACCGGTTTAAGTTAAGAAACTTTTTCTAGACAATACAATTAAGCAAACTTAATGGAAACTCGATAATGCATTTTTTATTGATTAAAATCTTTTAGACAATGATATGTATACAGATAAAAACAATGCGTTTGGAAAGGGAACTTAATTTTGATAACAAAACAATTAAAATCATTCTAACGGTTTGATGTTATCATTTAGTTTCTGCAAAATCAGCGTTATTGGAGAAAGTTTTTGCATCACGCTTTATTCTATATTATATATTCTAAAATATTTTTTCTATATTAGCATGCGAAAAATAACTGCTAATTGTTTTTATTTGTGTTAGAAATAGCATTTAAACTTTTAAGACTAACATGAGAGACCAATCTCTTGGTATTTTATGCGTTGTGTTTCTTTTGTTTTTTATTATTTCTATCACAGAATCTCACATGTGGAAAGTTCCTGAAAATTTTGAAATTTCTAAAAGTAATATTTCTGATGAAAGAAATCTGGGTATTTATTCAAGTTACAGTGAAAGAACAAGTAAGCATGCGTTCCGATGTATTAAAATTAATGTTAATTTTTAAATGAATGTTGAAATATAAAAACTTATAAACTATCAGCTCTCAATTCTATTGTAATAGCTCTCCTAATATTTTGCTTCCACACCATTTGCCTTTGATAATTAATAATTATCCTTTATCATTAGTCTAATCTGAATAACACCTCTATTTTTTGTTTTTGTTAGAAAAAAACAAATTTGATTTTTTTTTAAATGTTATGGGAAACTGATATCATGAAAATATTAATGTAAATACTTGCAAATACAATTATTACTAATTTTTCAACATTGATTTATAAAAGAGACAATATTTTGATAAAAAATTGTGTGCATGAATTTTATATATATATATANCATTTTGAACTTATCTAATGAGTTCTGTTTACTTGCAGCTTAAGTGCAATAAATGAAACTTGTTTTTTTTTTTAATTTCTTCGTGTTTTCTTGTATTTATATATATATATATATATATATATATATGCAATCATAAGTGAAAATTTTAAGCTTAGTAATGTGACTAAAAAGTTTATCATTTGAAAAATTAGAATTCATAGCCGGTTAAAAATTAATATTAATAATACGCAATTGCCGTACTTTATCAGTACAAAGTTTTATAATACTCCTATTAAAGTCAAGTCAGAATAATCACATGTGGACTTAAGACTTACTAAACTAAACCTGGCACTATTTTCTTTAGCTGCTTGAATATAACTATTAAAAATATTAAATAAGAAGGTTTTCCTCAGATTATCACTAATAATGAATAAATTTCAGAATTTATTAAATAATATAAAACTAGTTCTAAGGCGACTTTCAATTTCCAAAATCTCTTCAATAGCATCCGCTTTTCTAAACTAAAATATGTTCTTTTGATCTATCAGAACGGTTACAAAAATTTCTTCAATTGCAATTTTGATTTCTGAGAAATTCTAATAAATATTTTCTTTTTAGTAATTTGCTTCATGATGGAAAATATATTTTTGCTCAGAAAACCACAAGTATCTAAGATTTCAGCACTACAAAAAAATATGCAGTTTTAAGAAAGTGGTGATTTGGCCCCAAATCCGCTACAAAAGTCGAAACACTGCAAAAGTACTGCAGTTTGTAAACTGCAGTATAATTTTGTAGTAGTACCAACTTCAAAATTTGGACTGTTTGTGTACGAAATGTCTATATTTAGTGGTGCCATCTATCGTGATCGATAGAAATACTATAGTTTTTGTTTTAAAAAAATCCTTTAGAAAAAATGTTTTCGATAAAAAAAATTTTTTTATCCTGATCTATTCTGTATTTAATTCTCTAATGAGAGAGTATTGTACTTGGGGAATTTTTCGTAATGAAGGTGTTGACACATTGTATCCTGCTATTTGAACTCCCACCCTGTCGGCCGTGAGATTGACAGCTGTATTCTTGCTGATGCAAGGGACTAAATGCTTTCATGAGGTTGGTCTTATTAGTTTGGATAAAGTTTTTGTTTTTTTAATTAAATTAGGTGAAAACAAAGTTAATAAATTTTCTCAGTGCGTCATTTCATAATTTTCAACTTATTTTGATTGCATACAGTAAAATAACAATTAAATGATATATTACTTAAGAGTGTTTCTTTTGAAAAATTCCTAAGAATGTAAATTTGAGTTTTTTCCCCTAAGTTTTGCTATTTTTCTTTGAAGTTTAAATTTTAAAAGCAAGGAGTTCTAAAAGAATTTTTGAAGTAAACAATTTTATAAATCTTATGCTCATTTAGGCTCAATTGAAAATACTAGGAGTTCTTTTTTTTTTAAACAAAATTATTTTTTAGTTTATAAAGCTTTATTTTCACGCAATAAAAAAAGTAAGCTGTTTTGAATTGTCTAAATTTGTTTAGGACAAATTTTTGAAACAGAGGGAAATTAATAAATTTTTGAAGGAGGGGTTTGAAGCTGAAAAATCTGGATTAAATTCAATTTTCAAATTCTATTTTGAAAACTCTTTCGATATAAATTTGTTTAAAATCAGAACTAAATATTTGTTTCGATTAGACAAAATAAGTATAATTTTTGTTCTGCAATAATCCTTGTTTAGTATGAATTCGAATAAAAAAATTATCTAATTAACACTAACTGCTTGCCTGCACTTTAATATTGTTTTTAACATAAACTTTGCGCAAACATAGTTTTCTTAAGTCAAAAAGAAATAAATAATAAAAATTAATAAAAATAAAATTAGTAATGAAATTATTAAAATGCAGAAATATTTATATACCCAATTTTACGCTTATTTTAAACTAATTAAATTGTGTCAAAATCTTATTTAAAAGTTTTTGACGCTTCTGAACTATAAATATTTACAATTAAATCAAGAATGTATTTTATGAATTTTAACTTTTATGAATATAGAGAGTGTACGTTATTTCCGTTATTAATATATATGTTTAGAATTTTTACCTAATTATACGAAATTAATATATATTCAAAAAAAAAGAAAAAAACGAAAGTAAGAAAGGAGAGAAAAAAGACAACATTATAAAAAGTTGATATACCAACTAGGTGAGCTAGGTTGAAGACATCAAACTCTCTCAATTTTGCAACAATATAAAGTAAAAGCAGTTTTTCTGCAGATACATCAGTAAGTATACTTCTGAAACAGTGACTGCATAATTATTTCAAATTTACTGCGGAATAACCACTAATATAAAGTTACAGTTTTTTCTAAAGACATGACTTTAAAGTGACCTCACTTAAACTACAGTAATTTTGTAGTCAATAGCTAGAAGTTTTTCAAAGTAAATGATTGATAAATTTTATATATATATTATATTTTATATATATACACTTTTCTTTAATTTAAACTTTACTCGTAANTAGCACATAAAAATTTGAATGTAGTTAAATGCAAATTGAAATAAAAGAATGCAAGAATGTTAGGACATTAAAATATATATATATATATATATAATTTATCAATCATTTATTTTGAAAAACTTCTAGCTATTGACTACAAAATTACTGTAGTTTAAGTGAGGTCACTTTAAAGTCATGTCTTTAGAAAAAACTGTAACTTTATATTAGTGGTAACTTCAGATAACTTCCTCGTTGAAAGGCGCCAGCGAATCCTGACAAGAAAACTCCCGAATTTATAATTAACTCTTAACTTTATACCATAGAACAATCTAATTTCACATTACATTCGATTCGGCGACACTGCGTGAAGGCAGCTCTCACCAATCATGTCACTGATAAATTTGTTTCCTTTTTTTTCTATTAAATGTTAAGTTTGATTGTAAAAGCATCGTCGTTACTTTATCTTATGCTCCACAAACTCCAACTATATATATATATATATATATATATATATATATATANATATATATATATATATTATTTTAACTAATTATCTCATTCTCGTCATTTTGATATTAAAGGAATTACTGTGCCGATTGACATACTGCCGTTTTGTTTTTTATTTATGCGCACAAGTTTGTATATTTTCCATCAAAATGATGATTTTTTATCAGTCAATACGTTTAAAAATTAACATTAATTATATTTTTCAAGTATTTACGGTTAAATTTTAATAATATCCGTTAGTTATACCATTTAAAAAATTTATTCTCAATCTGGTTCCTTGAGATTTAAAAACAGTTAGAAATTCATGTTTATTTAAGATCAATGAATTAGTATTATAAAACAAAGTTTCTACATAAATCCAGTCGTCAAAAAAATCACACGGCTTACAAAGAAGTAACACATCAAGTAACATACATTCTCTCCAATGACTGCGGAATTAACATAGTTCCAAAAACATATTTTCTATTAAAAGGAAAGATTATAAATTAATTCTTTAATAAATAAATTGACATTAAAAGAATATTGCCAATCACTACATATTAATAGTTTAAATTTTGGTATATTAGATAATGAATCATGTCTACTTATCCCTTCAAAATGAATTATCCTAAAAATATATTTCTTTCAAAATTCAAAGAATGTAAATTTAGAAAATTCCCATTTCGTTTAATATCAAATGAAGCGTCGCTACAGCGCTAAGTATTTCTCTAAATAAGTAGCTACGTGTCAATACGAATATTAATTCATGTACTTAGATTGAAAACGTAATAAAATATGCATCGAAAACAATCATAAAAAAATAAATAAATAAATATTTTCACTAATTTAAAATGATAAAACTTTTATCAATTGATAAATTTTCCCTCTTTCAAAAAAACAAGTAAAGAAGAGAGGTGAGATGAGGTGATGGTTTATCTGTAAAAGACTTTGAGAAACTATAAAATAACATTTGAAGTGGATTTAAGTAGATAAATAATTTTAATCATTAAACTAATATTAAGGCAAAGTTAGAAATTAAAATTTAAAAAAATTGAATGGAAAAATTTAGAATATTACTCAAATAATAATAATAAAAAGTATACACATTTTAAAAATCCTTTGAACTATCTCTCCTCCTTTCTCAAATGTTATAGAAACAATGTAAAACATTGTAGTTTATTCGAAAAAATAAATATTCCAATTACTGTTAAGTGATGAAACTTTGGACCGCTGATAAAAATCAAGTCTCTGATAAAAATAAAGAAACGAAGAAAGGTAGCGTGGATTCGTTCGTGGAGGTCACTGTACTTTTTCACCAAAGTGAGGCAAAAACCCCAAATTTCCTCAACTCATGTTTTATTTTAAAATATTTGACAAAAGAAAATATCTTTAGATAAAATTTCAAACAATGACTTCTGCTGACCCAAACCGAAAATTCATTTTTTTTTACTCTGAATAATAAATGTAATTAAAAGAACTTAAAATTTGTCGTCATAATTTGTTTAGAATTGTACTCATTTATCTTCCTATTTAACGTCGTAATTTACGTGTATACAGTATACCCGCAATTCTGTGATACAGACAGACACAAATTCTTTATTTTATTATATGCATTGACTTTATTTTCAAATGTGTTTGTGATCTCAACGGTAGGACAGTACTTGGAGAGGTTGTTTCAACTTCCGGTAGAAGATTCGGTTGTGTCTATCCGGTAGAATTCGATTTGTTTCAGTTGCGTCCTATTTTTTGTTACATCATCTTTCGCTTTGTTATTAATAGAATTATTTTTGATGCCGAAAAATTCATTTGCAAGTGGCGGTAATTGTTTGCTTCTGAGTGCGCTATGCGTCAAAAAACTTAATAGTTACATAAAATTAAGATTTTAAAAATCTCAAAAGACACATCACGACAATTTCAGTGGAGTAATGCATTGAGGGGGAAATACCGGGAAAAAATAGTCACGTTCTGCTGTGGAGTCAGAGGGGGACAGCAAGACTTCTTGTAGGGTTTCTTTTCTTTTGTTCTCATTTTTTTAAGCATAAATGGGGAATAAATTGATTACGCAGGTCTTGTTGCTTGTTGATTTTATATTAGGTATAACATTTAATTAGGTATAAAACATTTTTTTGACTAAAGAAAAGTAATAAAAAGTTAGACTGAAATACAGCATAATTTACACACTCAATTAAATATTTTCGCATAAACTTAAAAAAGAAAAAAAAAATTCGTTCTTGGTGATTGAGTAGTTCTTCAGAAATAGGTATTATTTTCGAACCCAAAATAATTTATAATTGTATTTATTAAATCAGGTTGCGGATGTAAGAATGGTGACTGTGATGACAACGGCAAAGGTTGCGTGTGTTGGCCAGATTATGGAAAAGTATCAGAAAATGAATGTCAAGGTAATTACAAAATAAAAATTTTATATTGTCTTCGTTTAAACTCTGAACAGATTCAAGTTATCTTACCATCATTTTAAATAACTTTTTTGTTAATTTTTGGCATGTCTAAAAAAACAAATATTTATATTATTTAGATTATATATATTTACATGCCCATATGCATTAATATTATGTGATTTATAATTTTCTTCATTCTCAGCATACATTTGTATGGTAAAAATAGAAAGAATTTAAGAATTAGGAACTAATTTTGATGGAAGTGAGCTAAGATCAAGTATTATTGGGAACTAATTAATTTTTATATTAGGTTGGGGCAAGATTTTTTTCTTGAAAGGATTCAATGAGGAAAACTTATGCCCGGGGTAGATATGTAAAATTTCAGAGAATTTATTTTCTTGCTTCTATCCGTAACCTTAAGCGCACAGCCTTAAGCTTCGAGAAAACATGCAGTTTTAATGATTTTTATAATAAATGAATAACTAACAGAACAAATAGCAACCTTCATATTTTAATAGAGCAAAAGATAGAAAAGATAAACAATGAAAAATATGTTATATACATTTATTACTGTTTAATAATAGCGTTTTGCAATAATGATTTGTGAAGATTTAAAAAATTCCACAAAATTTTTCAGCAGTTGGGAGTGACATATCACGCCACAGACTTTGTTACATCTTACTATCTCTTGAACATCAAGTTTCAAGTTTTTCTTTCTTGACATCAAATTTCAAGTTTTTCTTTCTTGACTATTACATTTTACATTGAAAGCTAACAAAGCCATTAATGTGATTTATTTTACATAAACAAGATAGTTCTGTTTAACATGCTATATTAAAAATACAAATAATTTGGTTTTTCTCATATTTGGAAGCCATTCGCTGCCCGTCAGAAGAGTAATTTTTACTAGAAGTTCTAAGAAACTTTAAACAATTTTTCTTTGCGTCATATACTTCTTAAGAGGTAGCTTCTAGAGCAGGATGTATAATGTTTCAAGGCCCTAAGTAAGTATGAAATAATTGGTAATTGAAAATACAGTTGTCCAAATCGTAAAACACTGCAATTTACAAGAATTACATTCCAATAAATAAACTTTTCACCTGCCACATTTTACAATCGTTTAAAATTATAAAATTAACATTCTTATCAGATTATAATAAATAAAAAGCAAGCGTGTAATATTTTACTTAGTAAAACACAACTGCCCAGAAATTAATGTCATGATTAATTTCCATACGCCGATTTATAATTTTATAATTAAACAATAGGATTTTCTTAATACTAAAATTTGTATACCAGTGAAAAGGGTATAGATACGAAATAAAAACAGCCTTTTTTGCTTTATTATGTCTGTTATCTTAATTACTCAAATAAAATAAATTTATATTTTAGTTCTTTCTGCAGATGACTTTAGTCCAGTGAAATTTTATTCTGAATCATTCAGAATATTAAACAATTTATAAAAGTATTCAACAAAAATAATTTCTTTTTCATTGAAATGTTATGTCTGTTACGATATTTATTGACAAACATGACTTGTCGCAATGTTGAAATTTCGAGAAGAAAAAAATTTAAGAATTTTTCTTTTTTTTATTAGAATTAAGAATTCAGATTAACTGATTTTTTTCTATTTTTCCAAGATTTACAACCATTATAATAATTATTTTTAGGTACTCGTTAAATTGTTTCTTAATAAACTATCATCGAAATGTGTTTTTTTAAGTCAATCATATTCCAAAAACAATCAAACTGTTTTACGTACATTGCTATCTTTAGGAATTAACATAATTAAAAATACTATAACGACCTGTATTTCCGAAACAAATGAAAAGAATATCAAACATATAAAGTGCTAAAATCAAACGGGAATCGATGACCTAATTCTTTCGACAAAAGGTCTTTAACACTGTAAAAGCAGATAAAAAAGTAACACATAACAAAAACAAAAAACAAAATAGATTTCTTTTAGATGATTTAAAAAGACCTTCATAAAATGTTTGTAAGGAAAAATGATTCTGTGAAAGTTTCACGTTTATTTTGTGTATGCGTTCCAACAAGCTTTGGACGAACTACATGTTTGTGTATTCATGAAATTGCCTCCTTTAAAACTCAATCACTCCAAAATTCGAAAATTATTAATTCTTCCAGTCTGAATGAACTGGGCAAACCCTTGTCTTGTGATTATAAAGAAGGATAGGTGCATGCATAATATTTGTAATAACTTTAAAGAGAAAGAAATACACACGAATTTTTATGAAGCCTCTGGTAAAATAAAATTGCAATGTTGGTCAAATAAATTAAATGAGCAAAAAAAAACTTTAACAGGAAAAAAAGAGTTAATATATCGGTTATACAAAAAGAACTAATAGAGACTAGTATTTCTGAACTGTTCACAAAACTCAACCCTAACATGAACAGAATAAGAAAAAACACATTTTCAATATTACAATTCAATTCATTTCAATTCATGCATGCCAAACAACACAACACAATTTCATTTCATGCATGCTAAAATAGTAAAGAGAGCCCCAAAATTCATGATTCATTGAAAATTCAAAAATGATTCATATTGTCTTCTCAGAAAATTAGGTTTTGCAAACTTGACACAAAAATTCAAGTATTTCAATGAGAACAATTTCAAATATAAATTAGGGTCATTGTATAAGATTGATCACGGCAGGAAAGCTACCTACAGAGTTGGAGTTGCTGTTAAGAGAGCAGGTGACTCAGCGCATTTAATGGGTATATGTATATATGTGATACTAAAACTTTGGACACTATTTTGAAAGATAAATTTAATATTAAACTTCATTGTACTTTAAAAAATTTTATGTTTGTTTCTTTATGTTTTCATTGATAACTTTTCCTATAAACATGTAAATTGATGCATATTAATATTGTTAAAGAAACATATGATTTCTTTTTATTCCATACGTTAGCAAAAATAGAGTTAGATGTTTAATTATTTTTCACAGTATTTTACGATAAAAATATACTTTAAAACAATACTATAAAGTCTGAAAATATTAAGAAATATATGGTTAACTAAAGCATGAATAAAATAAAAAACACATAAAGATATAAATTAAAAATAAAAGCACGAGACATTTTTTAGAACAACAGAGAGTTGTTGATTTTTTTTGGAAGATAGTTTTTGTTTTCTAAGTTGAGGTTAATACTCACCCGTTAGAGGTTTTTCCATAGTTTTTTTACGCAAGGCTGTTACTTACCTGTTATGGGTACTTTACTTTTTTTTACTGTAAGTTTTGTTTATGAATAAATGTGTGTTTTATAAAAAAGGAACTGTTCTTTATATAGCTTGATACGTTACAATACTACTTAAGATTGATAACCAGAAGGACAAATACAATTTTTCAGAAATACATTAAAACATTGTTTTAATATAATCAAACGATGTTTTTTACATTAAAAAATTTTTTTTGTGTTTTATGTACAGTAGGATTCTAAAATTACAAGAAATTTGAAGTTACATTATTATGTGCTGAACATTAGTGCTGAAAATGTAAAATCCTTAGATGATAATAAATATACGAGGGTTGCTATTTATATTTCTGGCCTAATAATGAAAAAACAAATATGTAGGATTGAAATTGGTTTTATTGTTTTTCAAAATATTCTCCATGATGATTAATACATTTTTGCACGCGTTTGAACCAATTTTCAAAGCACTTTTTCCAGTCCGATTGAGGTAACTCCAAAACATGCGTTTTGAATGCATCAACCGCTTCTTCGGGGGTCGAAAGTCGTTGTCCACGTAATTTATTTTTGATGTGTGGGAATAAGAAGAAGTCATTGGGTGCCAAATCAGAGATGTACGGCGGATGACCCATCAGTTCTATCTTTCGCTCCGTCAGAAATGCTTTTGTTTGAGTCGATGTGTGAGAGCTCGCATTGTCATGATGAAGAACGATTCGCCTGTTCTTCTGCTTTTTTCGAATTTCTGGCAAACAAATGGTCGTGTACCATTCAGAATTGACCGTCCTGCGTTGCTCTAAAGCCACTGTTGCCACATGACCGTTAATGCCGAAGAAACAGGCAATCATTTGTTTCGATGTGCTTCTTCCTCGAACAACTTT